CATCGAGTGACAGAGGTACGAGGCTTCAATGAGCCACAGAAGGAGAAATACTTCAGGAAGAGAGTCAGTGATCTGAGTCTGGCCAATACAATCATCTCACACCTGAAGTCATCAAGGAGCCTCTACATCATGTGCCACATCCCAGTGTTCTGCTGGATCTCAGCCGCTGTTCTGGAGAAGATGTTGAGTCCAGCAGAGAGTGGAGAGATTCCCAAGACTCTCACTCAAATGTACACACACTTCCTGATCCTTCAGACCAACATCAAACATGAGAAGGACTATGAGAAGAACGTGACAGATGAAGACATGATCCTCAAACTGGGGAAACTGGCTTTTCAGCAGCTTGTGAAAGGCAATGTGATCTTCTATGAGGAAGACCTGAGAGAGTGTGGCATTGATGTGACAGAAGCATCAGTGTACTCAGGATTGTGCACTCAGATCTTCAGAGAGGAGTTTGGCTTGTATCAGGGGAAAGTCTTCTGCTTTGTTCATCTGAGCGTTCAGGAACATCTAGCGGCTCTGTATGTGCACCTCTCCTGTACAAACCACAACAGAAATGTGTTTGACCCAATGACCAAAAAAACGTATGAAGCCATGAAAACTCATCTGGAACATGATCTGAGAAGACAGCATGTTTGTTTTATGGAAGCTAAAGCTTTTCAACAACTTTTTTTTAGCCTTTCCATGGAACATAAGATATTTGAGTTGCATCAGAGAGCTGTGGATGAGGCTCTACAGAGTAAAAATGGACATCTGGACCTTTTCCTGCGGTTTCTTCTGGGTCTGTCAGTGGAGTCTCATCAGGTTCTTCTACAAGGACTAATGAAACAGACAAGAAGCAGCTCTGACAGCAATGAGGAAACAGTTGAGTACATCAAGAAAAAGATCAGGACCACTTGCTCTCCAGAGAAATCCATCAATCTGTTCCACTGTCTGAATGAACTGGGTGATCATTCACTAGTGGAGGAAATACAACAGTATCTGAGATCTGGAAGAATAACTGAAGCCAAACTTTCTTCATCTCAGTGGTCAGCTGTAGCTTTTGTGCTGTTGACATCAGAGAAGAAGCTGGAAGAGTTTAAGCTGAATGAATTTGTTGGAGCAGAAAATAAAGCTGATCACGTTCTTCAGAAGTTGTTGCCTGTGATTAAGGAATACAGAACAGCTGAGTAAGTATCACTAAGAACAATCACTAGACTCTTAAATATTACAAGAAAATGAAGTAGGATATCTTACAAACCTTCAGTCCTGCAGATTTCATACTGTTTATTTATTTTAGTATCTAGTAAAACTCTCTTCAAAGTAGTAAGTAGCATTTCTTGCTGTTGTTTTTTCCCCCACCTGAATCTTATTTGTATTTGCATAAATATGTAAAGACATGGAGTGAAATACATAATATAAACTAATGAACATTCACACATTTAAAAACTTAACAGTTTCAGTTTGGTTTCTGTTAAATCCACAGTTCCATATTGTTTTCTTACTGAAACAGTTACCATTTTGTTTTATTACAAAACATAATATTCATGCTTTTTTGGGCTGCTTTCCAACTATATATCTTTTTATCTTATCCACCACTAAAGGGTTCATATTACCTTTAAGAGTACAGCCCCACTGACTAAAGACGCAGTCACACTAGACTTCGAGCACACAAAATTTCTTTGGACGCTGCAACGGTCGTGATATTACAACTCAAAACTTAAAGTTAACACATAACAAATAATAATAAATCCCAAAAAGTAAAAACATACAATCTAATCCACTTTCCTGCAGCGCTGCAATTTTAAATGTATGTTTTTTTTTAATTGAGCTATGAGGTCATGCTGTGATGTATTTTGGTCACATGTTTTCATGCCCCTTAACTAAAAACACAACATTCACACATCCCCTGGTGACTGAGTTGTAAATGGGTGAACACTTGGGGCCCTATCATACACCCAGCACAATGCGGCTCCAGGAGCGACGCAAGTGTTTTTTGTTAGTTTCAGCCCGACGCAGTTGTCATTTTCACGTCCTGCGTCACATGTTTTCATGCCCCTTAACTAAAAACACAACATTCACACATCCCCTGGTGACTGAGTTGTAAATGGGTGAACACTTGGGGCCCTATCATACACCCACCCAGCACAATGCGGCTCCAGGAGCGACGCAAGTGTTTTTTGTTAGTTTCAGCCCGACGCAGTTGTCATTTTCACGTCCTGCACCACATTGTTTAAATAGCAAATGCATTTGCGCCCATTTGTGCGCACATGAGCGTGCTGGTCTGAAAACGAGGTGTGTTCAGGCGCATTGAAAAATGTAAAGATTATTATTGTGTACATAAATATAAAAATGCCTACATGTCATAATGTCTTTGCATGTATCAGAATTACGCGCACGAGCAGATCCGTTCCCTCACTAGAGAAGCGTTCAGTTTTTCCACTTGTACATTCCGCCATGTAAATAGCGAATTCGCCATGGCGCAAGCGTAACTGTCTTTTAAAGGGAATGGGAGATGAGACTCTGATTGGTTTATGGCACGTTACGCCCAAAACACACCCATTACTCATTAAGAGAATAGGGACAACCCTTTTAGACCATTCACCGGGCGCGCCGACCATTTTTCTGTCCTTAAACTAGCAAAAGTGAATTCAGACACGCCCTAAGCGCAATTGCGCCTTGCGCTTTAGACCATGCGCTTAGATCATTAAAATAGGGCCCTTGAGCTTCTCTTCAGTATGATGATACTGCAGTTACTAAAAATTAAAGTCATCATGAAATGAAAATTCATCCTATCTTTTTTCTAAATGCATGTTATAGATCTAATTGTAAACAATTCATCTGTGCATATGTTTTGTTTATTAACCTGGATCTTCTGGTGAAAACCACTTCTCTTTGGTGACATTTGGACATTTTTACCTTAAACTCCACTCCTGCACGCTCACATTCATCTGCCTCTACTTTTAAATGCACTGCTCACATCTCAAAATCCAATCAACAACCAATGGATAAAACAAAGTGCCCACCCAACATTTTTTCTTCTTTTTTGATAATCAATTTCACTCAGATGTACATCACAATCACTTCAATGCAACTTAATTATTTTATTAAAATTTGTATCTAATCTGAGAGAGTGAAGAGTGTGTCATTGTTCTCTACAGGTTGAGTGATTGTGGTCTCACAGATGAAGGTTGTGCTGCTCTGGCTTTAGCTCTGAGATCAAACCCCTCACACCTGAGAGAACTGGATCTGTCTCAGAATAAACTAGGAGATTCTGGTGTGATGCGTCTCTCTTCTGGACTCGAGAATCCTCTCTGTAAACTGGAGATACTCAGGTGAGAATCACACATGGTCTGGTACTCAGATAAATAGTCTCTTTCTTTTTTAAGATTTAAGAAGGTAATGTAGAAGAGAAAGGTGGGTTGGGATCAGAAAGCACCAGGAGCTGCCCGGGATACAAGCACAGGTCGCTGTGTGCTGGAACGCTGCCCACAAGGCTATGCCATGGCAAATTCTCTTAGTGAAACATAAGCAGATTATTATATTTAAAAAAAATTGTTGATTAAAAGTTAATGCTGTAAACTGAGCTCTGGGAGAGGATACTGCATCCCCATAACCCTATATAGAATAAGCGGTTTGGAGAATGAATGGATGGATGGATGGACTTGTGTGTTCTGATCTGAGAGAGTGAAGAGTGTGTCATTGTTCTCTACAGGTTGTGTAAGTGTGGTGTCACAGATGAAGGTTGTGCTGCTTTGGCTTCAGCTCTGAGATCAAACCCCTCACATCTGAGAGATCTGGATCTTTCCAGGAATAATCTAAAAGATTTTGGAGTTAAGCTTATCTGTGCTGAACTCAAGAATCCTGACTGTAAATTGGAGATACTGGGGTAAGATCATCTCTCTGATTGTCTATCGCAGAGAATATGGGATCATAGTCAATCTGATTGAATTTAATATAATTTAGATGTGAACTATCACAGCATTAATTATCACCACAGTGTTACATGTTTAAAAAAAATTACACACATAAAATACATTGTACAAAATGTTATACATGTATTACGCATCTGGTTGCCACCACTGGTTTTCTGTAAAAGTCTTAAAGTAAAGTAAAAAAAAAAAAAAAGGCAATCTTTTATAATAAATAATAACCAAATCTTAAACTAAATGTTGCTGAAAGATGACATATATTTGTAATTTGCTGTCTTTGCATTATATTAATTATAAAATGTGACACATTTAACGAACAAACATTGGCCAATAAAATCATATTTAATGAAAACATTTGAGTAAGTCATGCAGGATCAACAAGAGCAAATATAATAACCTATTCTAAACAGAATACCAAATAAAAGTAAGTCAACATATTATAACCAGGTGTTGTGTTGTGTCCCCATTTACCAAATTTAAAAAATGGGAAAATTAAAATATCTTTGGTCATTTTGACAGAAAAAAAACAATATTTAACTTATGCATGTCAATTTTAATCTTACAGTTGTTATTTTAACAAGGTACATGATGTGAAATTAAACTTCTTCCATTCCAACCTAAATAACTGTATTATTCATTATTTTTTTTAAAGCTTGGTAAAATATAAAGCAAAATGTATATAAAATATTGAAAGGTTTAATTGGAAACTATATTATTAACCAACTACGCGTGTTGTATTTCCAGTGCCAACTAGCAGCAGCAGTACTGCACATTTCTATCCATAACAACAGTGTCATTGTTCTCTACAGGTTGAGTCGGTGTGGAATCACAATTGAAGGTTGTGCTGCTTTGGCTTCAGCTCTGATATCAAACCCCTCACATCTGAGACAACTGGATCTGACTCGGAATAGACTAGGAGATTCAGGATGTGAACTATTCACTGCTCTATTGGATTCTCCACATTATAAACTGGAGACACTGCAGTAAGTATCAATAATTTTTAATAAAAACTCTCATTTCAAATTCATATAGTTGTACATTTGCAGTAGTAAGAAAAAAAATTGTAATTGTAATTAGTTGGTTTTGTCATCTGACCTTCAAAGTGACAATTATTATAGGCTAACACAATGGGTCACTAATAATTCACTAACAGTCACATGGATTATTTTGTATTTGTACGCACAGAAGAACTTTTCACAACAACAAAAAAATCGCCAAACCATCCCATACAAGGGCTTCCTGCACAATCTTTCATTTACGGCCTGAGCAGCAGTACTGCACATTTCTATCCATAACAACAGTGTGCCATTGTTCTCTACAGGTTGAGTCGGTGTGGAATCACAATTGAAGGTTGTGCTGCTTTGGCTTCAGCTCTGATATCAAACCCCTCACACCTGAGACAACTGGATCTGACTCGGAATAGACTAGGAGATTCAGGATGTGAACTATTCACTGCTCTATTGGATTCTCCACATTATAAACTGGAGACACTGCAGTAAGTATCAATAATTTTTAATAAAAACTCTCATTTCAAATTCATATAGTTGTACATTTGCAGTAGTAAGAAAAAAAATTGTAATTGTAATTAGTTGGTTTTGTCATCTGACCTTCAAAGTGACAATTATTATAGGCTAACACAATGGGTCACTAATAATTCACTAACAGTCACATGGATTATTTTGTATTTGTACGCACAGAAGAACTTTTCACAACAACAAAAAAATCGCCAAACCATCCCATACAAGGGCTTCCTGCACAATCTTTCATTTACGGCCTTTCATCACTCTAATTTTTTTTTTTTGTATATGTGATAAACAGAGAGATTTGGCTTGAATCTGCATTCAAATAAAGCATGTTTGAGACTTTTATTATTTCAAATGATTGACTGATTTTACAAAAGTGACTGTCTGTTTTATATTAGTATTTACAGGTATCCAATGACATTCTCATCTCTCCCTGGCCCCAAATTTCCACACCGATATCTACACCGACGCCACACACTTACAGAATAATATGCCACTCGGACAGCCTCTCTCACCTCTCTCCACTTTAATGTAAGGAATTTGCCCAATTGTTTAGAAACTGCCCTGAGCGGGGTCATGCATTAGAAACAATAAAGAATAAAAAAAAAAAACAGTGACAGTGAGCATATTGTTTTGTGTTTGTGTATTTTGGTATGCATTCTGAATACAGATGAATAGATTCATAATTATGATTACATAGATGTTGATGACTATATTTGACTATACAGCAGGGGTGCAGAACTCAGTTCATAGAGGGGCACAGCCCTGCAGAGTTTAGCTTCAACCCTAATTAAACACACCTGAAAACTACATGGTAAGGTATAAACTCTGCAGGGCTCCAGCCCTCCAGGAATTGGGTTCTGCACCCCTGCTATACAGTGTGTGGAAAAATTAGTAACTGTATGTGTGTATAAAATACAGTATATATGATATGTTCTCAGTTCAGTGCAGGCTATCACAGCTGACGAAGAAGCTGAAGCGGTGAAGAGAATGAAGCTGGGTAAAGCAACTGGACCAGAGCCCTGCAGAGTTTAGCTTCAACCCTAATTAAACACACCTGAAAACTACATGGTATGGCATAAACTCTGCAGGGCTCCAGCCCTCCAGGAATTGGGTTCTGCACCCCTGCTATACAGTGTGTGGAAAAATTAGTAACTGTATATGTGTATAAAATACAGTATATATGATATGTTCTCAGTTCAGTGCAGGCTATCACAGCTGACGAAGATGCTGAAGCGGTGAAGAGAATGAAGCTGGGTAAAGCAACTGGACCAGACGATTTGCCAGCAGAGGTGTGTCACAATGCTGGAATTCGATTTAATGGCTAGCACATTTCTTCAGCCAGGCCGTCTCAAAGAAGAAGATGCCTGTTGACTGGCTGAACACGACCATTCCAATCTGGAAGAAGAACGACAACCCGGCTGAATGTGCCAACTATGGGCCAATTTGATTGTTCTGTTAGATTTTCGAACGAGTCCTGAATAAGCCAATAGGCCAGTGCTATGGACACTTCTCTACGTGGACGAAGTTGTGCTCTGTGCCAAAGAGAAAACCAACTTCAAGCAGAATGTCCAGGCATGGAGCAACCAGCTGCGATGGATCTCCGGCATCACGCACTTCAACTACGCCTGTAATGATGACATTCGGCAGTGGTATGGTGTTGCTTCAATTAGGGATGCACGATATTATCGGAACGTTATTGGAATTGGCCGATAATGGCTTCAAATATAAATATCGGCATTGGCCCGATATGAAAAATTATGCCGATTATGTCTTGAGAAATTAGTTGAAAAATATTGGCATGTCGGATATCGTCAAAAAGCCAATATCATGCATCCCTAGCTTCAATATCTGACAAGCTACATGAAGTCCAGCTCTGGTGGTAAATAATAAGTAATTTAATGATCAAGCAAGTTTGAGTGGTGTGTGGAACATTTTGTGGACATTTTTCTAGTTTGAACGGACCACACTGTATGAAATGTCTCTTGCTCACACACACACACACACACACACACATAATGACTCTACTGACTTTTTAGACTTTACAGCAGAATTTTAAGTTGTCTCATATTTAAGTTTGCATCATTGTTATTTTCCTATTTATTATTGTGAAGTTGATTTTAAACTTTCTGTATAAAACTATAAATAAACGCGACTTGACTTGACAAACACTGCTATCTCTTTGTTACTTCACTAACTTCTCAGAAACAGGCCAAGACGTCACTGTTAGTACTAATGTGATGTTGATGAAACTCTAGAGATGGAGTTGAGAATCTAATGCTATAATATAATGCTATAATCATGAAGGATGCTGTCTTTTCAAAGCGGTTAAGAAACACCATTTCCATGTCATATTATGTTTGCCTTTAGTTTTTTTTGAACTGTGAACTGTAAACATTGTACAGCTAAGCAGCATTTTATTTCTCTAAAAATAATTGTGTGCCATCCCTAGTCTGATTTGGCATTAGTATTACAAGAAATCAGTTTTATTCTTGTATGAGTGAACATATCAGTCTTTAGGTCAGTGGAAATGAAGATCAGCTTATAAATACAGAGATCAGCTTCAGCACACGTGCCATTAACTGCTCATAGTAAAATGTGAATAATGGATTGATTTAAACTACTGTTGAATTACACTGACAACATTATGTATTTAAAAACTGCCTTATTAAAATGTCTTGTCCATATGAACTTATTTATTTTGCTTGGTTTGTTTACACACATCACAAGACCTTGCTTCATAAAACAGTGTTTGAGGATGTTTGACATTGGCTAACAATAGTCAATGTAAAAATTTATAAATTCATATTATAGATCGTACAGTAGCAATACATCACTGTTAAAATTATACAGTAATGTGTCATCATAATGTACATGTCAACATGTACTTATTGCTTAACCTTATCATTTGTAACCTAAAAATTTACTGAAATTAATTGATCCTCATCTAAGTCACACTCACAGACAAACACAATCTGACTAAACTAATTACACACAAACTCTTGTACTTTTCAAAATTATATTGAAGACATTAAGTGATCATTGACAGGATACAAAGTTTGTGACACTGTTTATGTCTTCTGCAATAAAAATCAACGCTGTCTTTTCTGAACATGACGTGATATATACAGATTTAGTTCATAATATTGTAGCATTCTCAGACAAGGATGAGGTGTTTTGATGGTGTTTATTAGGGCTGTTGTCGGCCACAACCCATGCCGTACAGCCTTCCAAGAGAACCGCACTTGAAACAGCGAGGCACTCTTCTGCCCCCCCCCCCCCCTTCTCTCTGTTTCCCCTTACACACACACACAGGGGGTGGAGCCTCTTTTCACATCCAACTCAAACATCTAATAACAGTTCACAACACAAAAATGAATAAAGTGCAACGTTAACATTAAGCACATTGTTATCCACAACACGACAACATTTTGAACATGCTACACTACCCCCCTCTTACTGAAATCCTCGACCCCGAGGACAAAGTCTCTAAATCGGACTGGGAGTCTCCTCTTCCTCCTTGGACGCCCCCTGAGGAGCGTGTGAGCTTGGCCTTCCAGTAATGATTCCTCTGAGCCCTGCAAACAATCACCCTGACGGTTGTCGGACAGCGATGTCACCTGCTGGTCACTACTGGCCATATCAGCTGAGTCGATAACCCCCTCTGACCCCGTTGGAGTCCCAGCATTTTGTGACAGAAGTTTTGTGCCGTCCTGTGGTGTTGTAGTGCCCCGGTAAGGAGCCAGTCTATCTCGATGCAGTACCACTTTGCGCAACCTAGGAGGCAACTGTACACGATACACAACCTCCCCCAGCTTTTCCAGTACTGGGCATGGTCCCACTCAGTGGCTGTCCAGCTTCAGGCCCCTCTCTTTTTTCCTTACTGGGTTGTAAACCCAAACTAGCTACCCCACCCCAAAGTCATGCCCCCGGGCATGTGTGATGGATGTGGTCTTTCTCCTCCACTCTACGATGTGACTTGGACGAACACCACTGAGATCTGATAAGACACCGCTCTGTACAACGGTCTCAATCTTTGTCCGAACCCCCCTCCAATAAAGGCTCGGACGCAATGCTGGCTGGTATGAATCTTTCTTTTCTTTACTGCAGGCTGTAAAATGAAATAAATCACCCCTTTAGTTGTTATTTTGCTGCAGGCATAAGTGACCTAAATAAAATGTAAAATAAAATTATCATTGTGGCCTTGCTAACGAGAGTTCACAAACGGCCAAATAACTTATAAAATATATGTTAATAGTCAAATTAAATGGTCAAAATATTACCCTAACTAAATCATAAACATCAAATACTTGAAAACTCAACTTATTTTGCCTTATAATCAAATATATATAACTAAATTGAGACGGAGCATAAGCATACCCACCCACAGCGTGCAGTACACATTGCAACTGCTGTGTTGCAAGTTCACAACACAAAAATGAATAAAGTGCAACGTTAACATTAAGCACATTGTTATCCACAACACGACAACATTTTGAACATGCTACACTACCCCCCTCTTACTGAAATCCTCGACCCCGAGGACAAAGTCTCTAAATCGGACTGGGAGTCTCCTCTTCCTCCTTGGACGCCCCCTGAGGAGCGTGTGAGCTTGGCCTTCCAGTAATGATTCCTCTGAGCCCTGCAAACAATCACCCTGACGGTTGTCGGACAGCGATGTCACCTGCTGGTCACTACTGGCCATATCAGCTGAGTCGATAACCCCCTCTGACCCCGTTGGAGTCCCAGCATTTTGTGACAGAAGTTTTGTGCCGTCCTGTGGTGTTGTAGTGCCCCGGTAAGGAGCCAGCCTATATCGATGCAGTACCACTTTGCGCAACCTAGGAGGCAACTGTACACGATACACAACCTCCCCCAGCTTTTCCAGTACTGGGCATGGTCCCACTCAGTGGCTGTCCAGCTTCAGGCACCTCTCTTTTTTCCTTACTGGGTTGTAAACCCAAACTAGCTACCCCACCCCAAAGTCATGCCCCCGGGCATGTGTGATGGATGTGGTCTTTCTCCTCCACTCTACGATGTGACTTGGACGAACACCACTGAGATCTGATAAGACACCGCTCTGTACAACGGTCTCAATCTTTGTCCGAACCCCCCTCCAATAAAGGCTCGGACGCAATGCTGGCTGGTATGAATCTTTCTTTTCTTTACTGCAGGCTGTAAAATGAAATAAATCACCCCTTTAGTTGTTATTTTGCTGCAGGCATAAGTGACCTAAATAAAATGTAAAATAAAATTGTCATTGTGGCCTTGCTAATGAGAGTTCACAAACGGCCAAATAACTTATAAAATATATGTTAATAGTCAAATTAAATGGTCAAAATATTACCCTAACTAAATCATAAACATCAAATACTTGAAAACTCAACTTATTTTGCCTTATAATCAAATATATATAACTAAATTGAGACGGAGCATAAGCATACCCACCCACAGCGTGCAGTACACATTGCAACTGCTGTGTTGCATCATCTCCTGTCTTACCGAACATGTTATCTGCCTGCAGTTCTCACACAAACCACACGACATCAGTACAACATGAAATTAACCACTGCTGAATTCATAAGAATTCACAATAAAACTAAATAAAATCCTAACTCTGTTACACATGCAAGTCATAAGCCCTCTTTTGCAGCATACTTGCAGTCACCAGCTGCCTCCTGGCATATGCACGGGCAGAGTCCAAGCGGTCCTGGAGCTGTCTAGCATATTCGGGTCCAGCAGGAACAGCATCTGGGGGCTGACCAAAGGCCAACTCTGCAGGGGTCCTAATCTCCCTCCCCAACATGAGCAGGGCTGGTGTGCAGGAGGTAGAGTCCTGAATTGCAGAGCGACATGCCATTAAGACCAGCGGCAGATGGGTTTCGCAATCGTGTTGATGAGGGGATGTTAAGATGGACAACTGCTCGGCTAGCGTCCTGTTGAATCGCTCCACAAGCCCGTCGCTTTGGGGGTGGAGCGGGGTGGTGCAGGGTGGTGTTGATCCCCAAATGCTCACACA